ATCCATTTTCTCAGAAATGAACTTTTTTTCCCCCCATTTTTTAGTGGTACTGAGGATTAAATCCAGGGATAGTATATAAATGAATTATATTCCAAGCCCTTTTTATTTTTTGAGAAAGGGTCTCACTAAATTGCCCAGGTTGGCCACAAAACTTGCAATCCTCCTGCCTCAGCATCCCTACAAACAGAATCCTTTGATCATGACATGATATGCCAGCCAAAGGATTTGTATTCTTCATGACAGTTCCTCTTTGTGACCTCAGCTGTGGCATGATGTCTGCACTAATACCATCTATGAAAGTTGGGCAAACTCTAACCCAGTCTTGGGAAGCAGACCACTGGGAGCTGGGAGAATTTTATGGAGAAGGAGGTGAATCATTTGTAATTAGACAGTTTTACTCTCTGGATGTGATGAAGCATGGAGTGTGATACAGGTGGTGTGTGTGTGTGTGTGTGTGTGTGTGTGTGTATATATATATATATATATACACACACACATACATACATACATACATATATATATATAGTCATAATAGGTTTGGCTCAACATTACAGTGATTTGTTTTTAGAGAGCTATATGTTAAACTTCCAAAGACATAAAATTATTAGGAAATGTGAGATAAGAAAGGGCAAATGACTTGGATGGGAAGTTTTAAGAAAGCAACTTTCTGACCCTGCTGCCCCACAAATCCTCTCCTGGGTTTACTTCCACAATGGAGTCCCAGGGCGTGAGCAGTGCTGAAGTCCAATTCTAGGTAAGCAGACTGGCTGCCTAAACCACCTCACTTTAAAAGAATAACATCACCAAAGACAAAATTTTCATTTCAAGTGAACATCAACATTTTCAAATAGAATTTTTTTGTTTTAGGTTCCTTTTTTTCTTCCTTAATGACCATGGAAAATCTGGAAACATCTGAGAGCTGTGCTTTTCTAAGGGCATTCCCTGCTCCACTGAGTAGCTTCCAGGTATCAGTGTGACCTGCAGCTCAATGCCTTTTAACTTTAGCATGACACCCAGTATCTCTTATCCAGTGTTGACCTCCTTCTGCTAAAATTACACTTGGGTTTTCCGTATTTTTTACTTATTGAGCCATGCCCTTAGTGTTAAGCCAAACAGCACATTTTTTGATGAACAGATGACTCCAGGTTCTTAGTTGTCCAACTACATAATCTGACCATAACCACCAGATTCTAAACTTAGATTAGATTTTAAACTTAGATTATAACAGAACTTTTTTTTTTTTTTTTTAAACACTTCTTTCACTTTCCAGCCTCTCTGGAAAATGTCTAACTTACAGAAATAGGTTACATTTTAAAGTGCAGCTCAGAGAGTACAAAATTAGTCAAAACTGCAAATTTACTAAGTCATCAGATGCAGCACTTGCACTTGAGTTTCATATTAAACCCATAAACTCATCCATGCAGGACACTGTGGAGTAAACATTTACATAGCAAGACAGCAACTGATTCAAAAGACTTTCTGCTATTTCTGTGATATGTGTTCCTGAAGAAAGCAGCTTTCACCTGGTAGTAGGGGACTGCATTTCCTTACTCGTCCCCTCTATAAAGGACAATGACTAATAATCTGCTTTAAAAAGCAGAAATTCTGGGGCTGGGGCTGGGGCTCAGTGGTAGAGTGCTCACCTAGCATGCATGAGGCACTGGGTTTGATCCTCAGCACCACAGAAAAATAAAGATATTGTGTCTACCTAAAACAAATATATATATATATATATATCAGAAATTCTGTACAAACCATAGTTACCCTGCACTCTGCAGTGAAGCAGCCAGCAGCACAGTGGTATAGGGTATAGTCATACTCAACTGCATAACCCAACAATGTCACTTTCTACCACTAAGGGTGTTTCTTAACTTTTTTTCATCAATAAAAAGGGGATAATTCCACTTCCTTGACAGTAGTGCTGTGAAAACAAAATTGCCTCTTTCCACAGTCTGGCATTTGAAGGGTAAATTAAAAATTAAATAATTAATAGTAAATTTTAGGGCAGTGTTCAGCACAAGTACATAGACTCAACTGGAATCACTGAGAAGGGTTAGAAGGGACCTTATAGATTTTCATTTTACAAAATAGGGAAAGTGATGTATATGGACAGAGAAAAATGATGCATACCCAGAAGGTCTAGAGCTGTTTCCACTTTGTTCTTAACCTTTAGAACCCCATCATTTCCTATTTTACAGCTTCATGGTGAGACAGACTTTTTTTTTTTTCCCAGCACAATGAAGTACAATGGATATGGCTGAATTATGTGCAAGGATGGATTTCAGAATTTGTCCATCAGCCAATAGTAGGCCCCGGGTTTATGAGTCTTCTGGAAAGACGTGCCCCTGAGGACAAACACAGGCAAAAGTAAACTTCACGTCTTTTCCTGACTGGGTAGCACAGGAAATTGGGGCAGCAAGCTTTATCCGTATTTGAGTCTGGCAGCTAACAATGTTAAGTTAAGCAAACACGATTGTGTATTTAATATTTGGTTAACAGATACTGACTCACTGAGTAAAGAGACTATTTGTGGACAAAATGTAAAAATATGAGGTGGACAACAGTATGTCAAATGGAATCTAAATGCTTGTTCATGGTTGGAAGATCAGATGGTGGGTCAAGCAATCCCTTATAGAGTACCTGTTGTCTGCCACTATTTAGATGAGAATACAGACAGTATTTGTCTCAATTTTACGAATGATACAAAGCTGGATGGGACAGAAAATATTCTGGGTACAGGTCAAAATCTTAAGATTCTGAAAATCTGGAGCAAAACCTACTAAGAGAACAAATTTTAGTGGGGATAAATAAAGTAACAGGAAAAGGAGCCTTAGAAAAATCACCTCCAGGTAAATGTGAATAAAATGTCACATGCAGAGAAAATAACCCTGTTAAATTTAATTTCAGTGTGCATGGAGAGTGCAATGCCCAGCAAACATGCATTTATTAGTGACTATAATAAGGGAAGCATTGGTCAACCTCTGGTATATTTGTATTCAGGCCTACACAACTCACTTTAAAAACTGGGCACATGTAGAGAAGATTAGGATGGTGAAGGGTCTGAGAAATGACAGGAGCAAACGCTGACTGGAAAAGGTCTGAGGGCCCATGAGATCAGTCTTTAAACACCTGAAGAACTACACTTCAACAGAACAAATGGCCAATTCTTTATGACTACAGAAGGCAGGACAATGTATTAGTGGGTAGAAGTAAAAGGAACACAGGTTAAATGAAATCAGTATGAAGTAAATAAAAATTTCTGTAACAATAAGCTGTTTTGATATTATTTTATTTGTTCCCAGCACATCTTAAAAAAAAAAAAAACCACACATGGGCATTTGCTTATAGAACAGTACACTGGAGGGAAACCAATAAAAGAGAATCTGAACATACACCGAAATCACAGTACATAGACTATGTTTTGAGCCCTTGTGGAAAACAACATGGCTCAGTATGAACTGACAACGCTATACTGGAATCTCTCAGGAACTTCCCTTCCCACTACATATCCACTTTTAGACTATAAATGTAAAGAGAAGAACTGTATGCATTAGTTACAGCAGTAAAATGGCTTACATACAAGTGCTTACCCACACATAATTCCCAAAAGATTACTAGAGTACTGGCAGGAATACGCACTGCCTTGGAGGAAGACTCAGGATAAGATTTTATTCAAGTTGTATCAGAGCCAAAGTATTTCACAGGCTTAGCAAAAATGGACAAAAATTAATATGACCTACACATAATTCTCATAAGATTTACCACTGTTCAGGAACAAAAATATTTATTAATCAGAAGGCAAAATCACACAAAAGGACTGACACACAATATAAAGAATAGACCCCACTCCCCCTTCCAGGCTCTGCTCCCCAGGGACCATGTGAGCAGACATCCAAAGCACAGAGCAAGTGTCTCAAGGCTGGGTGAATAGCCACACTTCAGAGCTACCAGGTTGGGACAGTAGGAATGAAAATGTAGGGATGAAAATTCCTGTTGACTGATTAGTACCTCATCTGTATGTGAGGGTACAAGTCCACCATACAATTAATTAAATATGCTAGATGAGCCAAACCAACAATGGAGAGGATTATCAGATTAATGCACAACTACTTAATTCCTGACATGTTTTTAAAGAGGAATAGCCTTGAGCTGATAAATAACCTCTGTCTTTAAAGACTTGTCCTCTTCTCATTTTAAATGGCTATTTCATGATGGGGGTGGGGGGGCAGAGGAAATCCCAAAAAGGCACTGTGAACAAGGGGGTACTATTTAAGTAGCTCAGTAAATAACTATTTATAGAAACTATACCAGTATAAGCATGTCATGTTCTTTTTGAATATCCAATTAAGAGTTAAAACATGTTTCATGTGGGGTGCTTAAGGTGGTCATGAAAAACACTGCCAACAATAAGGTGCCTTAAAAACATGTATATATGTTACTTAGAAATCTACATGAAAACCAGATTTCTCTCTCTCTCAGAATGGGAATTCAGAACACCTGAAAAATTTTACTAGCAATACTTAATGTATTATTTTTCCTGTGTGAAAAATATATAAAATAGTATCCTTTGGGAACCTAAAAAGAAATAATTTCACAGACCTAAAGTTAACTGAATTCAGTGATGGCTCTTTGGCTTGAGTATGATAGATATTTGTTAAGGAATTAAATTCTATAGTTAGAAAAGCAAGAGAAAGCTCATTCTTTGAGATTCTTCCAAGGTTTTTAAAGGGAATTCTTTATAATTACAAAAAACTAAATGCCTCCTAAGAATTTAACATTGATTTTTAAAATAATTAGAGATTGATACAACCTAGCTAATGACAGACTGTTTGTTAGTAATCCAAACAGATTTAGTCATAGGTTATACTTGATTAGGCTACATCAATAAAACAATAAAAACTAATTTCCTATTTTCAGATCAGTGGAAATATTAAGATGATAGACTAAAGATGAAAGAAAAACCCATATGCAAATAGAACAAATAACACCTTGACACTCCCTTTGAGGAAAAAAAAAACTTAGACCCAAGTCCAGTTTATTAATAATACGTTTCTATAATCTCTCAACATTACACAAGCAATTTTTACAGTTAAATTTCACACTGAAGACAAACACTATTTGGCTTAGGGAACAGAAAGCTGAGTAACTTACATCCTTCATATCAGTCAGTATATTTCAACAGTTTCAGTAAACCTTTCACACTTTCTGGATTTCAGCATCAACGTATAAGTTCATTTTTTTCCCCCTTTCCTTTTCAGGAAAGTGATACTAGTAAGAATTAAATGAATATGTTGACATATGGCTCATTTGGGAACATGAAGCCTTGGGCAAAGCCAAGCTTCCATAACTCAAAGCAAAGGTGAAACAGCGAACTCTTCAATCCTAAACTGGCACCTGTAACACTTTCTGCTTTTTTTCCTACTATGAGCTAAGCCCTAATTAAAATCAAAGTTGCTAAATCTTAAGTGATAAACAAAAAGCTACTAAAGCTGTCCTTTACTCTTATCTCAGTTCCTTAAAATGTAGATATGCTTTCCACAGCATTCCATTTGGCTGCCTCAAGCACCACCACATTCAATTTGTGAATCAATCCATATTGAATAAGTGTGTTCTAATATTGATATGGAATAGAAGCTCAACCAAACCCAGCCCATTTGAAGACTTGAGGGAACACACTGCAGTTTAGGACTTCACAGCTTCTCTGATTGACTGCAGTTAAGAAGTAGCTCTGAAAAAATGACAAGGGAAAATCTCTGAGGCCAACATGCAGAAAGGCATTGTCAAAATGCAAGCTAGGACTTAGTTACTAATATTCTGAAAAAAAAAAAAAAGGTTTCCTTGCAACCATCTGCATCTGGTATATTATGCACACTGATGGCAGCTCATCCTTTATTGCATTTTTTTGTTTTCCAAATCAACACAGCTATGTCAACTAGATGGCTTCCAGCTTCACAAATAACTTTACAGTAATAGTCCCACAATATGCAAGCGCTTTTAGGAAGAAAACTCCTAATTATTCAGAAGCAGAAGAATGCAATCCTCTTTTCTGTGGTAAATACTGGGCACAATTAACACCTGACTTCCACAATTCTTACCCAAAATAAAAAAGCTCAAGACTAATTCACTTTTGCACTACTATAAATTGCACCAAACATTAAGGCAACAGTTTCTCTAAGGGCCAATAAGAGACCTGTTCATATTAGGTCTCTTCAATTCCATTTCTCACTAGCAGCAAGTTCCCATTACCACTGAAAACCCAACCAAGTAAGACATCAGCAAAATATAAGCAAAATATTACAAACATGACTAGCTTAAGAAAGTCAGTGTTACCCAGTTAGAAAACCAAATAGGCTATGGGTCTTCAGAATTTTAAATAAACTTGTCCAGAATTAGTTAAGAAGCCTCACATAGACAATGTTCTCCAGGCTTTAACTTTCATGAAGCCATTTTCAGATACTTCAAAAATAAGAGGTATGGTTTAAGTGTTTCTGTGCATATTCATGAACTCAGTGCTCCAGACACTAAGTCTGTACTCAGGCACCTCCCAGATATGAGTGTGTCAAAGCTGGGTGAAGGCTTTCTGATTTACTGAATCAGAGTGAAACAGTACTGATGAACGTTCTTGCGTTTCAAAATGATCCCTGTAGAAATGATTCCAACTACAAAATATAGTCACCATTATAAAATTAAGGTTGGGAAGGCCTGTATACATGGAGAAAGAAACACAAAAACATAAATCACTAATTTCCATAAGGTTCATGTAGAATAGTGACCACAACAATTCCAGGTGTTACCTTTATAGATTCTTAATATCTAATACAGATTTGTGAGGTTGTTGAAATCTCAACTCCCTGGGAAAGAATACTAGAACAATCACATGCAAAGGAATGGATATGCTTGTGAATCCGTTTTATTTTTTAAAATTGCTCAGAAACATGTATACACTTTCAGTGAGATATTAGTACCTTACTAAATTTTACATTTTGATCACCAATTAGAGAAATCATTGTCATGAATAGATGCATTTTATAAAGTTGAGAATATGATCATTCTAGAGGCAATTTCCTCATCAAGTGTCCAACTATTTCAAATCATCGAGGGTTTTAAGCATAGATTTGCTGGAAATTTTATAATTAAAAATAAATCACCAATGAAGAGAGGCAGCTTCTAAAAATACATAGTTTTAGTTTTTGTCATTACACTAGTACTTAATTTTGATTTGTTTACAGATTTAATTTTGTTAGTTTGAGGCCAATTTTAATAGTTAAAAATTATCATTTTGAAGTCTTAAAAATACATTTTGTCAAATTTAAATTTTCACTTTTCTGGTTAAGGCTACTTCAGATAAAAAAGATAGTAAACTGCCCCAAAATAGTTTGGAGTTGTTGCTACACAGAGTGTCCTTTCAAAGGATCATCTGCATTTTGACATATATTATCTGATTAAATATTAGTTTTAAAAAATTATCAAAAGTTAGGTATTGCAGTAAGAAAAGAATCCATCTTAAAATGTAAAACATGAACCAAACAGACAGTGATTTAAAGTAATAATTTCATTCATTTTAATAGCCAGGTTAAATGTAAAAATGTTTGCTAAATGTGATTAATGCTTTCTTTATTACGTAAGAAATATGATATTTCAAACTTCTGATTATGGTATATGCATTAATACGTTTTTAAAAAAATTTAGGTTAAACCAGTAATTCAAAAAAGGCATTAAACCATTATTAAAAACTAATTTGAAACTTATTTTCACATGAAAATTTACCATGCTATTTGGGTTAATTTAAAAAATTAAAGATTTTTGTCATTGAAACTGTTGAGGCTTTCAAATCCAAATGCTAAATCATGACTGTTTCTTTAGCTAAAGGGCTCTTTCAGCTGGAGACATTAGGGTCAGGAGTCTTCCTTCTGTTCCTGTTGCAGCTTCTGCAGCTCAGCAACAAGCATGGGACAGGAGAAACACTGGGACTCAGGGTGGATAAAGGCATTCATTTCATAGTAAACCTGTCCTTCACAGGAATAAGTGAGGGATAAGTCAGCTTTTCTTACAAAACATACTATGAATGATCTCAGTGATGCAAATACAAACTCATATCTCAGCAGAAAGAGAAACATCAAGAACAAAAATGTGTCCCCTCACAGAGTAATTCCTATACTAGTAATTACAACTGTATACTAATTTCAAAGAAAACTGTAGGCCAAGCACCTTATAGAATTGAAGGCCTCCTAATAACAGGTTGCCTATATTCTTTCCTCCCTTAATGTCCTATCACAGTATAACATGTTCTTAGAAAACATATACCTGTATCACTCCTCAGTGGACTCTTTTCCTAGATATCTGCTTCCCAAAAACGTTCTTTATTTTTTAAAAAAAGGCCAGAGAAGCAATAGATGATACCCAAAGCTGCCTTTGTTCCTCAAGAGGAAGCATTAATCTAAAACAGCAGGCAGCATCTTCCTCTGAAGTATCTGGTAGCCTTGTGATGCTTGACTAAAATTTGAAATTATAAACAGCTGGCTGTAAACTGATATACCTACACTGAGAGAGATTTAAGAACACCATCTGTCAATCCATAGATGTGGAAACAAAACTACAGAATGAAAGCAAACTTATGTTAAACCAACAATCAAATGTAGCCAAAATATAGTCCATAATGTATCTGATTACTGGTATAACCATATAGTTCAAGGCTTAAAAAAAAAAAAAAAAGGTGACATTTTTCATAATGATACTAATGGATTTATAAAAGGTTTCTATTTCCAAAGATATTACTGGGGTCCACATATTCCTTGACAGACTTCAGCATTCCAAAGCCGACATCGGAGATACTTTCCTTTAGCCACTGCTTCCGCAACTTGCCCACTGGAAAAACAAAATCAAAAATGCTTCAATATACACTATGATGCTGGGAACCAATCAATCTTGTGACCACGAGTGAACAAACACTGTTTGATAAATGCTTTTATTCAAAAATGAGAAATGTTTTGCTTTATTTGATTTATTGAGCCCACCAGACTATCAAGCTCATTAAGCTCAATGCATTCCCAGGGGAAGTCTGTGCTACACAGTGTCTCCTTTCTCTGTAAACTATGAAATGGAGATTGAAGGAAGCTTGGACTGAGATTACAGCCCATTTTACAAATAAAAATGATGATTAAAACATGCATTACAAAAGAACCCACCCCCATCTTAACTACTAAAACATACCAAGTTTCAGAGAAAATAAAGTTAACTAAAGAAAAACATCACATTGGGATGAATTTGTTGGCAAAGCTTTGCAAAACTAACAGTACAGATCCTTAAAATATTTTAAGGAGCACAAAGACTTTTCCAAAAAAAAATCTGAATCTTTAACAGGCTTATAGGGAAAAAAAAAATTAGCTGTGAAGCTTTCTGTTTACATTTTCTTGTCACAGGCTTTTAAATAAATTTGCATGTTCCCAAATAATGGTTACTTTCTTCCTATTGTTTTTTCTAATTAAGAAATATTTTTGGCACTGAAAAAAATCAGATGCCTAATCCATTTTAACCTTAATCTTTTGCTTTATCAACTACCATGTTCTTATTCTTTGTTTCTAAGTCTTACTAATTTAATTTGAGAATGAAGTAACATAATAATTAGCAGCATGAATTATACTTTAAAAGGCACTCAATGAAAAACAAAACTTTTCTAAATATAACTTTTATAAGAAAGGATATGTAAAAGAATTCTGAACTGTCAACTTAATTTGGCACTGAAAAACAAAGCAATATGCTGACTTATCTGTGGCAAAATAAGTAAGTCTTAATTTATGGTTAGGATTATTTGTAGTTAGTATTTCTCAAACACATGCATTACTCAAATGGTCATTTTCCACAAATGTTCATTATGATCCAAAGTCATCAACAGTGATTTGTTGACCAACCGAAATAGGAAACCTTCTCTCATTAAACTATTCAGCCTGTCACTCTAAAATGCACTCCCATTTATCAGGCTGCAGCAATACATCATAGCATCTGCCTTTTGGAAACCTTAAATACCATCTCAGCTCAACTCAAACCATCTTCTGTGTCCAGTTCTCCAGGAAACCATCAAATTGTCATCAAAATAATAAATAGCATGGTTTTTGCCTAGATTTTAGAAATAAGGGAGTATTGCTGGTGTTAAGAAAGGGGATAATGAGGTTCAGCAGGGGAAAAAAAACTGAATTCAAAATAAAAACTTTTGTTTAAAATATATCTAAAACGAGAGACAAAAATTACAAATTACTACTTATACAATCTCTGCTATGTAAGAGATTTTTCTGCCAGGATCTTTTATTTAAGGGACAACTCATGACTATGCATTAGCCTTAGTTTTCTCATCTGCAAATGGATTAGAATCTATAGTCTATTAAATTCTAATATTCTATGATTTTAAGAATTTAACAAGTTAAAAATCAGTTATTTCCAGATTTGCTCTGTAAGATTAAAAAAAAAAAAAGTAACTAGTCTAAGTGTTGGAGGTGGCATTAGATTACCGTGTTACTTTCTATAAGCTAACTACACTGAAGCAGCTCAAGAGGGGCGAGAGCAGTCAATGCCAGACCACTGTTATCTGTAATATAGTTTCACTGAATGTGTCCTGTGGTTATAGATGTAATTGTCCTGAAAAGACTGCAAACAACTGCTCCAACAAGATGGAGCACATTAGAAGCTCAGCAGGATGCCCAACAGCTAGCTTGTCTGCCTGGTTTTACACCTCTAGTAATAATGCAATTCCACAAGGAACTGAACCATCATCTGAGAAGCCACCCAACAGCCATTGCATATTTAATGAAGTCTCTCACCAAGCGCTGGAAAACAGAAGGTGCTTGGAGTGCATCATTAGTTCTGTCAGAAGGATAATTTACACATCTATCTTGTCAAATTTTCTATGGTTTATACTTTTACAATAATCAATCTAACATACATTTGATTAGTGAACTAGAAAGTTTAAAGAAAAGAAAAGAAAAAAAAGACAGTACAGCCAACATGGACCCTCATAAACATACTTGATGAAAGAATTTAACCCCTTGGTGGCAGAGGTCTGTGAGCTTCTTTTAGTACTGATAACAGAAACTGAAATGGGGTTAGAAGCCAGGGCTTATACAATTAAAGGGATTAGAAATCTTTGGTTTTGTTCAACAAATTAAGTCAACTACATTGTACAAAAAAAAAAAAAAAAAAAAAAAAAGCATAGTATAAGCAAAAACAATGTGCATTATAAGGCAATTACTGAAACCAGTTTGTGGCTACAGAAGAACTTTCTGTGGCTACCTCAGATTAAAACAACAAACTCCACAGGCCTAATCCCAGAGAAGGAAGACTCTGAAGCAGAAAATTTATGTTCCACAGCTAGACAACAATGCCCTTTGCTCAACCCTTAGACTGCACTGCGAGGCATTCGGAAATTAGCTGGCTATACTGTCCTGCAGACAGATGTACTATATATACATATGTAACACATATGTGTTACATAGTACTTGCCTAAACATTTGTACAGTTCATTTTCTGAAAGGGAAGAAATGATTTCTCTTTTATGTAATAGTGTGCCACATTGCAGGAGGAAAGAATGATGAATAAAAATTGCAAAAACAGTAAGAGATGGCCTAAGAATACTTTCAACACCTGGTATTATCATCCATTGAAAAGGAGTATGCACATTCAGACCACATAAAGCACATTCTTCTTTCTAGGCCTGGATCATCTGATGTGAGACATTCATGGCTGCTGATCCAAGTACCTTCCTTTTACTTAACTGAGAGGTAACACTAGAGCTACAAATGCCTGGTCTACCGTCTTCAAAAACAAGACAAAGATCCCAAATTCCACAATTCATTATTACTCTAATAAAGAATGCCTTAAGTATATAAACCAAATATTTAAGTCTTGTAAAGTATTTACAAGGTACAAAAAAGGTGAATCCAAAATTGAATGTTATGAAACTAATGGTGTAGGGGGATCTAAACTAAAAAGTGAGTTCACCTTTTTAGAGTCTGATTTTGAATAATAAATATACAAAGAAACAGTTTTGTTTTTTTTTTAAATGTGTCTTTCTAGAATATACAGTACATTTTTCAAAATTTACTTTTGGAACAGAGAAAATGAAAGCTTTCAGGGATAGTCTCCTATCCCCTTTGGATGCTAACAAATCAAGGAAGAACTCAAGTTTTGCGGTATGATCAACAGTATAAAAGAATAAACAGACATGTGAGGGGCACGGGGTAAAGAGATTTTGTATGTGGAAAATGTGAACATGGGGGCCAGCCTAGCCCTCTGGGGCTACTCATATTCACCTTATCTGGAACTACTCTTTGTGGTTTAAGGGACCAAAAACTTAGCAAAAACTATCAAATAGTTCCATTATAAAAGGGACAAACCTGGGGTTTGTTGGGTACAGAGGTCTCTTTAGCTAGATATATTTTAACTTTCTATATTCTCCTTTTGATTATAAAGTCAAAAAGACTTTTATACTTTTATTTAAAAGAATGAATTATGAAATGAACCATACACTTAAAACTTACTAAAACTACAACACAGAAGTAGAATTTAGCCAAAACCAAAAGCAACTACTCATTATTATGACTGCATTTTGAGGGCTGAAGGTATATAGCTCAGTGGCAGAGTGCTTGCCTAACATGCCCTGGGTTCGATCCCCAGCATTGCAATAATTGGAACAAAAAACCCTATATTTTTGGAAACTCAGTTTTGAGCATCCTCGATAGCTACTTAGCATTAATATACAGGTCATATTTTAAAAAGAAAATCTAGAGTTCACTGCTGATAGAAGTATTCTGAGCAATGACTTTTTATTTCTAGATGTAATTAATAGACCAAACTCCTGATAGATCATGTAAGGAACCAGTGTTGCAAGGACATCCAGTCTCTTGTCAGATGAGGCTTTGGCATCCTGGAACTTGTTAGGCACTAACAGGAACAGGAACAGAGAAAAACAATGGACTGTTTCTACTCTTTGAGTTATATAGTACACTTCACTGTAATATTTCGTCAGATGGGGTTTTTGGCCTGAAAAAAAAAGGAGGTAGTAGTTTATTTGTGTGTGCTATAAATATAAAACACATTTCTGTTTGGTTAGTTGGTTTCAGTGGAGGTGTATGCTGAATGTTAGCCAACAGACCTCTAACAGAGGGAATGATAACATCTACCCTTAAGCAGAATATGAGACAGGACCATGACTATTAAAACAAAAATAAATTTAATGTTTAATAGGTAATAAAGGTCAATTTGATTTAAGTCATCTGACTAAGTTTCTACTAATTAAACTTCTGATATCATGAAGACAAGTTCATGAATATCAGGAACTTTACTAAAGCAGTTAAAATCCAGTATAAGATTTTTCTCTCATTGTCAATACTCAAAATGTCAGTTTTCTTAATGCTAAGATTTCTTTAGTACAGTTTAGCTATAAGTGTTTACAGATCCTTAAGTAAGTCTTTAGAGATTATGAAACTGAAAAAAATGTTTAGATTATTAGTATGATAACACATCAGAAGAGCTGGATTGAGCCTGTCCTCAGAATCACAATTAAGTCCTAATTACATTGTATGTTCACAAATGATGCCCTGGCACACTTAAAATTTAAACCAGAGTAGCAATCAATATCCATACAATAGAGACCAAAGCCAGTGAACAGGTCAAATAATCTGAGATAAGAATAGAAAAAGACAAAAAGCATCGTATGGTTCTTGAAGACTAAGGCCATGTTTTATTCTTCTTTGTGGTGCTGTTGCATAACATAGTACACATCATACAGTAAGAATTCAATAAATGTTAGCTGAAATTTAAAAAATATGGAACAACAGTTATTCCAAAGCCATACATATGGTGTGGGAATTCCAGTA